ATTTATAGGAATCTTGAAGAAGGAAAATGTTATAAAATTTTAAAATATAGGCAATATATTAATATGTCATGATCTTAAGCAGACCCAGGTACTCTTAGTTCTAAATTTAATTGCTACCCTTAATTAATTTCCCTAAGAAAGGCCTTTTTGTTCTCAATTTATCACCCTTCTTTCTAAGGGAAGGGGACCAGTCTGCCTAGGGCTTTTAGACTAGAAAAATATTTATTTCTAAATAGGTTTTTAGAAAAGAGGTTTTTAATATACTATCAATCCCACCATCTTTTTTTCCCATTGAACTCACCCAATCAGGAGGTTGGCCATAGGGGAGGGGGAGGAGACTTTTTTCTTCTAACACAGCAAATTCATGAAAGCTACTAAGTACTAGAATTCTTGGGTTTCTTCAGGACTCAGCTTAAACACTAACTTTTTCAGGAGGCCTTTTCTGGTCATCCCCCCCCTTTTCTGGTAGTACCCCTTCTTCTAAGATTACCTTTCATTGCTACACTTTATGTATGTCTTATGTAGACATACCTGTTGTTTTTGTTCGGTCTTGTCTGACTCTTCATGACACTGGACCACACCACACCAGGCCCTTCTATCCTCCACTATCTCTTGAAGTCTGTCCAAGTTCATGTTCATTGCTTCTATGACACTATCTCATCCTTTTCGGTCTCCTTCTCCTTCTGTCTTCAATCTTTCCCAACATCAGGGTCTTTTCCAATGAGTCTTGTCTTCTCATTATGTGGCCAAAGTATTTAAACTTCAATAATTGACCATCCAGCCTGAATGAATTTCTTCAACTATTGACTGATTTGATCATACCTATCCAGATATATTGTTTCTCCCATTAAAATGTAAGCCCCTTGTGGACAGGGACTGTTTCTTTTTTTTTCTCTGTATCTCCTGCTTAGCACAGTGCCTACCACAGAGTAAGCACTTACAAAACTCTTATTGATTGATTGGCTGATTGATGGTTCAACCTCTTCATTTCACAGACAGGGAAACTAAAGTCTAAAAAGGGAAGTAACCTGCATAAGACCATGAAGTTAGGAGAAATCAATATTTCTTTCCCCTTTTCTATTAGTTTTTTTATGTTTAAAACTTTTATCATTTTCTTCAACTCTTTTGTTTTTATATCACCTTTGTTTCTAGACAATAGAGAAGAAAGACAAATACAGTTGAGCCAAACTAACTTAAATCAGTGTTTGTTGAGGAGTTCAAAAAGACTACCAGACAAGATGAGGTAAACAGTTTTCTGGGGAATTAAGACCTGAGACTTTATCAGTTGTGGGAAATTAATTTATCCCTTTGCTAATCAGGATTTTTATTATAGATTACTCCATCACACTTGTTTCCCAAAATATTAAAGTTTTGTCATGAAAAGTTTTAATCCTGTACTAAGTCTTCATGCAATTGACCTTAGGCAAGTCTCCACCTCTCTGGGCCTCAGTCTCCCTCTTTAGTAAAATGACAGGATTGGACTAGATTAGGGGTGGAGAACTTTCAGCCTCAAGGCCAAATTTCCCACCCTGGACTAGATTTATTCTAAGGTTTCTACCAGCTTTAAATTCTATCTTGTGCAGCTAGGTGGGACAGTGGATAGAATGCAGGGCCTGGAGTCAGGAAGACTCATCTTCCTCAGTTCAAATCTGGCTTCAGACTAGCTGTATGACCCTGGGCAAGTCACTCTACCCTGTTTGCCTCAGTTTCCTCATATGTAAGCTGGAGAAGGAAATGGCAAACCACACCAGTATCTTTGCCAAGAAAACCCCAAGTCACACACATACACACACAAAAACAACAACAACAATAACAAAATCCTATCTTCTGTAAAGTATGGATTTGGATTGGATCATTTATTTAGAAATGGATGGAATTCATTCCTTTACTTCCTCTTCCCACCCTGTTTCTGACTTTTATCTCCTTTGCTTTATTTTACTGAAGAGCCTGAGCTTCTGAGATATTATGGGATTTGCTCAAGTTCACTCTGGTAGCAAGTAAGGAAATTCAAATTTGAATCCAGATTTCTGCCTACATCAAGTTCCTTTCCAGCTCTAAGTTCTATGTCTGTGCCTTAAATTTTCCCTCAAATGGGGGTACTGGCCACAAATCCAGGGAAGCATCTGACATTGGCTATTCAATTCAATTGTTAGTGCTATTGAGAAATGGAATATGCTGTCTGGGAAGTAATAATAAGAACAATATGAAATTTCCAGTTTTAAGATTTGCAAAGGGCTTTACATATATTTGTTTCTCATTTGAGATACAATAACCCTGTGAAGTAGGTATGGGCATTGTTATTCCCTTCAGAGATGAGGAAACTGAGGTTCAGAGGGGGTGACAAGATTTGCTAGGAAGTCATTCACACTATTAGACACATTATCATACTACTAGGAAGTGCTAGGTTAAATTTGAGCCCAAGTCTTCCTGATTCCAAGCACTCTATTCTCTTCATATACCAGGCAACCCCTTCGTGGGAATCTTCAAACTAAGGCTAAATGATTCCCTGTTCAAGTTCCAGGAAGTGAATGGCTGACATTTATATAGAATTTTAAGATTTATAAAGCATCTTATAAATATTGACTCTGGGAGGTAGGTAATCTTATTTCCATTTTACAAACAGGGTAATTGAGGGTAAGTGACTTGTCCAGAGTCACTCAGTTAGTGAGTGTATATGGCTGGATCTGAACTCTGGAGTCTTCCTGACGCCACCTCCAGGGCTCTATCCACTATGCCAATGTCAACCCCTGGGAAAATCTGGGCTCCTACCCCGCTAACCAGCAGTTTCCAACTGCCCCCAAGACGATTCCCGCATACCCCAGCAGTTTCTAACCATGCCTGTTCCCAGAGATAGTACCAAGGACAGTTCTATGACCTTGTACTTGTAAATCCCTTACTATCACCGCCTAGCTCCCTTCCAACTCCGAAAAACTGATTCTGAAACATTTATTAAGTGCCTACTGTATGCAGAGCATTGTCCTAACTTCCCAGGATAGGATATTAAAAAAAAAAAAAAAGTGCTGTCCTTGTCCTTAAGGAGTTTATACTCTTCTTTGGGGCAGAGGCTTTAGCTTAGGTCTTTGTATCCTCAGTTCTTAGCACACTGCCTGGCACAAAGGTGGAGCTTGTTGATTGGCCGACATAAACAGGTAAGCATAAGAAAACGAGAGCCCGAAACTGAGCAGCGAAAAACTCCAGAAGGGAGACATTACATCCGGGGGAGTGGGGTGGGCAATGCCAAAGGATGCTGGTGAACCTGGAGAGAAGTTGGCTAGAGATGCCCCACTGCCCTCCTCTCTTTTTCATTTGGTCTTGTCCGGGCACCAGGGGCCGCTCGTGCTCTCGGAGATGCTGGATAAGCTGGGAGCATCCCCGGTTCACCTACCTTAGCCTCACCTCCCCCCCACCCCCATCCCAGCCTTCCCCATTGGTACCGGCCGCACCCTCAGATGGAGGGGCTCGCACAGAGCCAGAGGTAGACCCTGGGGAGGGATCGCGCACTCCCCTCGGTCCCGCCGCGCACTGTCTCCTAGTAACAGGAGGGGTCCGAGCAGGCTGGGTGAGGGGCTTATCGAGGGGCGGGGGCGGGGCCTGGCTGGAGGCGGGACTGGGGCCGGGGGCGGCGCTGGGAGCTGGAACCTCGGCCAGGCCGGTCCATGGCCAGGGCAGCTTGTGTCCCCGGCTGGCACCATGCGAATCCTCTTCCTGGCCGTGCTGCGAGCGCACACCGGCAACGCCGTGACGGCCGCGCGGATCCGGTACGTGCGGGGAGGCACGGGGGCCGGAGGGGGGAGGAGAAAGACGAGGAGGAGGATGCGCGGCCCGGTTCAGTCTGGACAAGCCCCAGTTCCCAGGGCCCAGGAGGCCCAGCTCTCAACTGGCCGAGCTCGGGAGGGCCCCTGGAGCCCCACTGAGGACCCCTCGCCTCAGCGCATGAATGTGCCTTGTGCTTTCCTGCAATTGAGGGGCCAGTCCCTCTCTCTCATGTATCCTTTCTCCCTTTAACCCCCCCCTTTAAAATGCACCGTTCCCTGTCCATTAATGTGCCTTCTGGCCTCCCCTATTAATATGCCCTTACTCCCATTTATATGCTCTCTCCCCATTCATGCACCTTCCCCCTGCGCATAGATGTGCCTTTCCCCCCTCCCTCCATTAATGAAGGCATCCTTTCTCTCCAATAATGCACCCTTCTCCCATTGCCTCCTATAGTCTTCCCATTAATGCACCCCTTCACCTTCCAAAAGTGCGCCCTTCTGTTCATTAATGTGTCATATGCCCTCTTGCCTTTGATGTGCCTTCCTCCTATTAATGCATCCTCTTCTTCCAATAATATACCTTTCCCTTCCTGTCAATATACCTTATGCCCTTCTACCATTGATGTGCTCACTCCCCATGTGGCCTTACCCCCATTGCACTTAATGTACTTTATGCCCTCCTTCCATTAACATGCCCCCTAATAATATGCTCTTCTCTCCTCCAATAGTGTACCCTACCCCTTCTCATTAATGTGCCTTATGCCCTCCCTTATTAATATGCCCTTCCCCCATTAATACACCCTCTTCCCATTAAGACCTCCCCACAATAATATACCTCTCTTCCCAATGATGTGCATTCTCCCATGCTGCCATCAGTATGCCCTCTCCCACTAATATGACCTTCCTTCCGTTAATATTCCTTCTCCCTATTAATGCACCTTCATCCAATAATGCATCCTCTACCTCATCTCTTAATATGCCTTTTCTTCTCTCCCTCTTCCCTTAGGATGCTTCCTCCTGCCATTAATGTACTTTCAACTCTCTCCTGTTAATATACCCCCTCGTCTCTTAAAATGCCCTTCATTCCATTAAAATGCCCTCCCTCCCTTTATCATACTCCTTTCCACACTAATACATTTACCACCCCACCCTTCATGAACACACTCTTAATTTGGGTCAATTCAGCATTAATTCATCAAGAAAAAGATGCAGCTGGTATATAAAGAGCCCGCTGGGAAACCAGGAAGACCTGGGTTCAAGATCTCTCAAGTTCTGTGTGACCTGGGACAAGTACTTATCTCTCTCAGTGCTAGGTCTAGGAAGCTTTTCAAGACAATATGTGCCAGAGAAGGCTCCCTACTGGCTTTGAAAGATGGTCTCTCTCTCTCTCTCTCTCTCTCTCTCTCTTTCTGTCTCTGTCTCTCTCTCCCACATACACGCATGCATGCACACACACACACACACACACACACACACACACACACACACAC